AGTCCAGTTATGAGAAAACAATCTGCCATAAGCGGACGCGAAGCTCTCCTAGCGTTGCCCTCTTCATGCTGCTTGAGTGAAGCGGGCAATGAGATTTATCGGTAGGAAAGAAAACGCCATAAATTTTAAATTATTTTTAATTCATCCTTTTTCTGTCTATTCAAGAATAAATATTATTTTAATTTAGAAACCCGCATTTTAAAATTTTTAAATTTGAATTTTAATATTATTTTTTACGAAATTCCTATAAGCGAACATCTTCCATAGGCGGAAAAAAAGTAGGTGACCATCAGTGTCCGCTTATGGGCGCCTTCACTGTAGTTTATTCTACAGCAAAAACCACAAGAATCAATTTTTTTAAATTTCATATAGTACTCGAGAAAACGCTATAAATACGAAAGTATTTTCAACAAAATTTAAAATTTTTTAATTCCGTGTCCAGTAAATTTTAATATAATAAAGAATTGAAATTTTAGAGTGCTAAAAATTACCGTTGAGTTTTGACAATTTTTTTTAATCGCGGGTGTTGGGCATTTTCTTCAATATAAAAAATAGATTTTGTTCATGTGGTCAAAAACTGCATACTAAAAAATTTTTATTTTTATAAAAAAAATAAGAAAAATTTTATATGGAAAATATAAATATATAAAATCATCAAAGCGTCGGAGTATTCATATTTTTTACGCTCACTGTATTTTGCTTATAGTTATGATGACACATATTTTTAGGCTTATTTTTTTGCACACAAATGCGAGCTCAACTCATAATTCTCGTTGACTTTTGATGATTTTTTTTTTTGCTTACGCTATTGTGCATTTTCTTCTACAATTCCCTATCATGAAAGATATTAATTATGGCGGAAGCGCTGAAACAATTTACAAACAACTTTCCGAAATCGTATTGTGAACTGAAATTAAAACGGCAATTATTTATGTTTCATGTTTATTTTCTGCCAAAAATGTCATTGATCATACAAAATGGTTATGTGATTGTATACGCACTGATGATACGTGAATCAAAATTTAATGCGATTAAAAGTGATTAATATGTCTGCTAAACATACTCTACAACAATCACTAATACGATACTAGATAATATTTACATTCACTTTATGCGAACATTTTTATTTATTTTTTTGTTTATGGTAATCGGCAATCAACGGGTACATTCATTCCGAATAAATTTATTTAAAACACTAAATTAAAAACCAGCTAATTATTTTTTTTTTTATGTAACTTATATTTGAATGTTTTGTATGTAGTATGTGAATAAAAAATATTTATTTATAAACTTGCCGGCATTAAAATTCCATATTTCGCTTCGTTGCCATTTCGTTTCATATTATTTTCCATAAAACTAACTAGTTAATCACTGAAAATGAGTTGAGTCGGTTTAAGTTATCGCGAGAATAAGTTAAGTCTTCTTGAAGTGTGATGGTGGTGGGCAAGCCATCGCAAAGTCTTATTCACCACACGGCACTTTTCTTCACTTCACTTCACTTCACTTCAAATGCCGCGGAAATGGCGTCAGTGTGGGCAACATGCCGCGTGATGGCCGGCGTGTCGTCGGATGATAAACGTATTGAAGATATTGTTGTAGTTGTTCGATATTTACTTGCTGCTGCTGCTGGCGTACTTGTGGTGCCTGCTGCGGTGTATGTGCCACTTTGTTGATAGTTGAAGCAGCTTGTGGCTGCAACTTATGCTGTATTTGTGGTTGTTGCAGAAATTGCTTGGCAAACTGTTGCTTCTGTTGTTGTTGCTTTTGTGGCTGTAAGTGTTGTTGTATCGTATGAAATTGTGTTTGCGCTGCCTGCACATGTTGCAAATGCTGCGTTGAAGCGGCTTGTTTAAACTCTGGCACCTTGACCGGCGCTACCGGTGCTTCTGCTTCAGGCAGTGGTGGTGGCACTTCTNTGCAAGAAACAATGCAAAGCAGCTGACAGCAACAGCAACACCAAGGGCAACTGATGGCTTTAATATCTGCAACAAAGCAAACAAGACAATATTACATTACATGAGTGCACTGTCTGTGCGTAGATAATGGGTAACAGGATAGTTGAAAGAGGTTCAGTTCAATATGGTCGAATGTAAATACTACCTTTTAGCCGAGGTCTATAGGAATGCGAACGCGTTAAATTATTTTGAAGTTTGCATTATGAAAGTAATTAAATTTTATATACATTACAGTGGTCCAAAAATGCATGTGAAAAAGTAAAATCGGAATTTTATGCTCTCAAACCCTAGGGTTTTTCTATACCCAAAAAAAAACATATACCGTTATTTTTTTATTATAAAATCACAACATTTTTAGAGGTCCCTCAAAGTTTGTTGTATAAGGGGAAAAAACAACTTTTCGTAGAAATGGTATAGATTTGTTTTTACTTTGAAATCACAAAATTTTAGAAGGTCGCTCAAAGTTTTCTATTTATTTTATATGGGGGAAAAAAACAACTTTTCGTAGAAATCATATAGAATTCTTGAAAATCAATATTTTTTGATTGGAAACTATGCTTTTCTTCAAGAGATTCCCTAAAATAATAATCAACTATTTATTTAACCAGTTTTTCATAGTAGCTATAATTTAAGGACCCCGAAACCCCAGAAAATGCAATGGGGCGCCAATAAAAAATCTCTAGTATTAAAAAATGGTTGGAAGTCTCCTGAGGTTAACCATCATTTATTATTGTATTTTTTAAAACTTGAAATTTGTAGGCAACAATAAATTATGTGAAGAAGAATTTTTTTTTGTTAAAAACTCAGATATTTAAATGGTTTTAAGGTTCAAAACTGATTAACAATAATTCTTTCATGATTTCTATTAAAAACAATGGAGAGAGTTTTCGAAATTCATATCAGCAGTGTTATCACTGTTAACCTAAGGTTGCCTTTTTTAGGGAATCAATTCCGCTTACACCAACTTTTTGTAAACTAACACTTGTTGACTTTAAACATTTCAATTATATTCAACAATTTTATAATGAGCTCGAGGCCATTTTTTAAATGAAACTTTATTGTGGAAAAGCAACAATAATTTGAAAAAATGGTAGAAGTGATAGCTATTTCGGAAATCACCACATTTCCTCATCAGACTTCTTTCAGTAGGATTCGAACCGACGATCCCACTGACTCAGCCAGTTGCCTATGCACCGTGCTAAGACGCCTTGTAAATTATCGTTTGCTTATTTCCACTATTTTCATTTTTGTTATGCCAACACAATCAAGCGCAGCTATTCCGCTGCAATTCACTTGATCATGTGGTTGTTGGTTTTGTTGGTTTATGCTAATAATTCTATTTTTAGAATGCTTAACTTTTTTTAGGTGTGCTCGTCCTTAAGTTATTTGTTCATTGTTATTTTTTTGGCCTTTTTTTTAACAATTTAAACATTTCATATAATATTTTTACACTCTTTCCTTAAATTTCGAAATTAATTATAACTTTGCACTTCGGTCTGGCGACTACTTTTTGCTGGCCAAAAGTCGAGAGTTAGCCAAATTGGTTCTAAACTTGGTGTTTGGGGGTTTTCGAGATCGCTGATTTCGAATCCGAGGTCAGATTTTTGAAATTCAAAATGGCAGAACCAATATGGCGACGAAGTTTTCGAATTTTTTCTTTTCCCCAGAAACTTATACACAGGGCGGGGTTTTCGAGAGCGCTGATTTCGAATCTGATGCCAGATTTTTGATATTCAAAATGGCGGATAAGGAAATCGCAATGGTTGGGAGAAAAACTGGAGTAGTGACGTATTTTAAAGTAAAAATACCAAACATATTTCACATCGGTTGCGTATGTCATTCGGTTGCATTAATGAACAACGCAGCTCTAGTTAGTAAATGCTTCACAGGCTGCGCGAAAATCGCGAAATGGCGGCGGCGAAGAGCAATCCTCAGTGCGTTGACTGTATCTTATTTTTAAGTGGATACTTTGACCTCGCGAATGGACCATATGAAGAAAGACATTGTATTTAAGTCCGGTGAATATGGGGCCACCATTGTTGCGAAGAAACAAAGCTGGGAAGTTTTTTTCGAAAAAAAGTTAGATTTCGCGAACTTTATGCGATAGTGTCGAGTCGTATTGAAACGTCCAATGATTTCTAGCTACTTGTTTTCATGCACAAGAATCCTCCCCGATCATTTCTTTTGTTATATATCAAGTGGCAGTGCTGGCCATTCAGTAGGCAGTACATAGCCTTACTCAAAGACCCTCAGGTTGGAAGCTAGTACACATCTTCCCCGATGGACGGTTGACCCTGAAAGGTCTACAGGAACAGTGGACAGAGATATTCCTAAGTTAATTTCGAACACTATTACACCGTATATCTTAACATGGAAAGAGCTTTTCTAACAGCTGTGTATAGAGTACCCGTAGAAATAAATTTTTTTCATTTATGAATTTCTTCAAAAAAACACTGGTTTTTAATAAAAACTGAAACTAATTTATTGTTGTACTAGTTTTTGAAATCTATTTGGTACTTAATGAGTAATGGGCACCCTAATGAACATGCCCATGGCCTTGAAATTGGCTGAAAACTAGTTATGTGTTTCTCCTGATAGTAATCTCCGGAGCCACGTATGTGATTTCCAAGCGGAGGAAGCAGCAATGAAGATAGCTGCCGATTGGATGCTTATAAATGATCAGCTATTAGGCCCTTTAGCACTCTGATGAGATTTTCGAAAGCTGATGTGGAATGCCTGACATCATTTTCGATCGCATCAGTTTACTTCACTGTCAGCTGATATTTATGAGGCCCAGGCCACAGCGATAACCGATGAGCTGGGTAAACAGGGACCTCTTGAGAAATCAACGTCGGGTAGAAAGAGGGTAGGGGTTAGACTTAGTGTACATAAGTGGTTTGTTTCTCGATGGATGATATGTCGGTGAGTTCGGCGAACGTGGAGTGAAACCTTTAAAGGCAAGGTGGCTAGATCCTTTTTCTGCGGATTAACTTCCGGCATACCAGGGTGCCCTTCAGTCCAAATGTTTCACCACCATATACCACCAATGCAGTTAGTATTAACTGGTCATTTAAGCATAGAAATCCACTCAGTTAGCCTCGAAATCATCTCGAGACCCTATTGCAGCAGCTCTTCAGAATGAATGATGTTAAGATCTCCAACTTTAAATAAGTTTTCGCATTATGCTCGTATGGTATTAACAAAAGCGAAACATAAATATGGTAAAACCGTTTTTCGTGAGTGTCAGCTTCCTTTCGATGCAGGGTCCTTAATTTGCCGTATGTCTGAACTCACACACATACTTCGTGTTAAGTATTTAGAGTAGAAACTTGTTGTAACTATTCAACAGTTAGTAGCAATTTCATGGCAACAGTAATCTCAAACTTTCGTGAGAAGAAAATACCTCAGGTTAGTCCTGCATATCCTGCTTTACATCTCATTTCCTAATGGGTCTTACTGCTGCTTTCTGAATGCTAAGTGAGTTATGGCAACGTTTTAATTACGAGTATGCTGAACGTATGCAAGTGAAGTTTTGCATGTACATGCGTATATACATACATACGTACATTAGGGTGGTCCTTAAAAACAAATAAACGATTTTTTTCAGTCTCACCCCCTCAATCGGTAATACTATCTACATCATAGCATGCCGCACAGGGCGCAAAGTTCAGATTCCTCTATAGAGACACAAAAAATTTAAATGTTTTTTTTTTTATCCAATACCCAAAATCAATGCTACTATAGTCGAAGATATCACAAAAAAATTTTGGTTCCGATTGAAGTCGGTTAAGTTGTGTCGCAAAGGGGCCAAGGCCAAATCTGCCTATGGCGACTCAAAAAATATATTTTGTTTTTCATTTAATACTCAAAATCGATACTGCTACAAACGAGGATATCACGTATAAATTTTGGTTCCGATTGGAGTCGGTTAAGACGTCTTCATAGGGTAATCTGAAATTTGGGCCCTGTACGACACGCCTTAACCGACTCCAATGGGGCCAGAATTTAAATGTGATATCTTCGACTATAGTAGCATCGACGTATGGGTTGAGACATAGGAAATCTGATATAAAAATTTGCTTCCTACATTTAAGGACCACCCTAATGTATACATATATACAGTGCCGTGTAGATCTGTGCTGCTGAAGAAAATTTTCTGTTTTTGTAACATTTTCGAATGCCAACTGCTGTGATTTATGGAGTGTGGCGGCGTTGAAATGACAAACAAACAAAATGTACACAAAGAAAATGACTGCAATTTCACTAAGGCAAAGATTTTACATGCGTCGATGAGAAGGAAATTAAAGATTTTGATGTCCGGTCTACTTGTTTTGGTTTTATTTTTTTTTTTTTTGTTTGGGCGAGTGCGGGGCTACGCGCAAACGCACTTCCTTGATTTTGCAAAGACACGTTGCTTGATTAAACATGTTTCACTGTCAGCTACGTTTTTTTTCGACCATTTTTTCCATCGAACACAAAAAATAGAAATCACAAATCACAACTCACATTTGGGCATTTCATGATGTCAGACGTATGTTTTGGCCTTCGAATATTTTTTCTTCGTTTTTGCTATCACTTTCGAAACGCTCTTAAATCAGCGACTTGTTCTGCTCAATCACCGTATGAAACCGACGCGTCCTGATATCGACCAGCGCGTATGCAAATTTTTAAATAACTAAAATGTTGCGCGGTGACAACAGTTGCTTTTATAACAACAGACAGGCCAGCTGGTTGGTGGGCAGGCCAGCAGCAATCATCTGGGTAAAAGTACTACTAATAAAGATGGTTTGGTCAGCAACTTGTTTGGATTGTCTGGTGTTGATAGTGTTGTTGGCATCTACATATGTACATAGAAGGGTTGGCAGCATTAAACAATCAATTAATGACAAACATTAAGTATTATATATGGCTTAAAAAAAAGATATTTATGTAGTAAAATAGGCAAACATATAAATAGTGAGCTATGTTGCGTATAAAAATAAAATGATCTAGTAAAACAATCGCGAAAACAAACTAAAAATGTATTTAGCTAAATCTCAACTGCACACACTCTTCTGCTAGTAGTCTGNTTTAATAACCGGATTAAGCTGAAGATCAAGAAAGAGTAGGGGAAAACAAACAAAGTGCCTGCGGCGCTTTGGCAACTGACTGGTTGAACCAGCTGTGCTGAGTGGTGACGCTAGTAGCCCTGTATTATAATTATCTAGTATTAACAATGATTACGAGTATGCCTATTATCAGCTAAAAATCAAGCAGAGCCGCAATGGCAAAAACGGCTAAAAGTGCGAAAGGAAAAAGTGTACACATTTATGTAC